TTAATTTCATTTATACATTTATACATTTTTAATTGCCTTGTGTTACATGAATTGATAAGAAAAAAAAAGTTACTTATAAAGATGTAAATTTAATTTGCAAATTTAATCCGCGATAAACGCGCAGATTGTTAATTTAGTTTCGTTAAATCGCAGAAACAGTCACGCGATTTGAAATTTGCATAATGACACACACTTATTACGATTCACTAATGCTGCAGCACTATTATTTGCAATTTTCCTGTCCAAAAGGACCTGTCACTAGAATTAATCCGCGCTGTATTGCGTTCGACATGGCACACGTATAGATTTCAAGCACAATTCGACGCGGGACACGTTAAATAGAAGCTGCCACACTGCCATCGTCAAGACACTCTTGACCCATTTCCACAACGTCCCCACTTTATGTGTATCAACCTGCTACGCAGCTTCTCCAACGATATCTCTATTTCTCAATCGAGAGGAACGTCACTCGTTTGACTTCTTTCTTGACTCTATTATGCCTGTCGCCAACCCTGCACTCGATATAAGCAACCCCTTGGAACGCTTTACCTCCTTCCCCCCTACCCCCTTCTCTCTCTCTCTCTCTCTCTCTCTCTCTCTCTCTTTCTCAGATTTATCTTGATTTATCCCTTCAGCCGTCTCTTAGGTATCCGCCCTATTTGTTGAGATAATCTAAAGTTTCCAAGTGAAAAATCAATATATTCGGCTCGAAGATTCTTTTCTCTTTCAAGAAAAATGTCTGTGTGTTTTGTGTTTTTTAAGTATAAAAAAAGATCCTAGAAATGTCTCTGTGAAAATTTGAGGAAAAAAGCGCACTAAGAATTTCTCGAAACATGCACGATCGATCGCATGTTCTTTTCTCTCTTCATATAAAGTTCGTTAGCGTTTTATTTAAAGATGTCACAGCGTTTAAGTCTCTTATATGTAAAATAAATGTTGAAAGTATTAAAATATATAACTGGGAGAGACTTTAATTTTATGAAATAATAAATAGTTATCTTCCATATTCCTTACTTCTCGGAAATGACTTTAAAAACAGATGATGCGTGTGTTTGTTCAAAGAAATGATTAAGAAAGCTTTATTATGGTCACAAAAACCTATTTCTCATTTTCTATCTCTGTAACACGATCGTCGATGCTTCTTCCCTTTGGGAAATTTATTCGTCGTCCTTTGGGAAATTTTGTTGCATCCACTTTCGTTGACCAGTCTCTTCACATCGAACAGTCTACATGTCTCTCGTTACTTGACGTCATCGACTGCGGAATAATACGCGTCATATTATTTACCGTCGATACTATTCACCAGTATCCTCAGACCCGGAAGATGATACGGATGATTTGCTATCTCAACGCAATAAATGCCATCGTGCGAATCGCGGAGATATCGCATCAGTTTTGATCCGATTTTTGCTGTAATTTCTCTGCTGATTATCTCTCACTGTTTATATGATACCTTATATCATGATTAGATCACACAACGAAGTGGTAATTAATCTTATTACGTGTAAATATAATTATTTCTATCAATACATTATTAATTAACGCATCGTGTCTCTTATCATGTTAAAACTTATGCATCTATACTATATTTTGAAAAAGAATCATTTAATGTTGATATATAATAAATTCTCCGAGCGAAATTCTTTTCTGTGTCGCTTTTCGATAAAAACACTTCAATGACCCAAATGCAGTTTCAGTGTACTTAATATAATACATCAACTTTTATGATTCAAACTTTCATTCGTTTTCTTTGGTAAAATGTAAAATCTTATTTCGTTCTATTCGCTGAGAAATCCATTCACAATGATCCAAATCTACCCTTGACGATACGTTCGAACATCCACCATATAATCACTTCACTCGCACGTCTACGCTCCTTTCTTTTCCTAAAATGTTATGGTTCACGTTTTCACTCTGCAGAACTTCTCATCGCAAGTATCGATTTCACGTTTTATAATATGCTTGAACCTCGTTGAGGTTTATATGTGTACATGCATTTTGTGCATATATATATATATGTGTGTGTGTGTGTGTGTGTGTGTGTGTGTGTGTGTATCTTCTTTCCTTTTAAAGATTTCTCCCTATAGTAATATTCTTAGCTCAAGGAACGCACCGATTCATTTCCCTTTCATGCCCGTTCTCCACAGGTCGCCCGTCGTTGAACATCGATCCCACGTCAAGCGTACGTCGCGAGATGTGTTTTCGTATCGCGATTAATAACATGCGTTTTACATCTCCCTCGCGAGTCGATAGTACAACGAAACGTGAACGTCGGTGTCACGACGCGACGTCGGTGGCGAGAACGACGCCAGGCTAGTGGAGCTACCTACCACCCACCCCGAAACCACTCGAAGGGGTGCAGCAATCCTGTCGCAGTTCACCCTGTTCGTTTTACTGCGCACACGTCGTCGGCGGTGGACTCGTCGACGCGATTCCACCTTCCTTACCCTTGTCATCGTGTCGGTGTACGCTGGAAGGCAGTAAAGTCGAGAAGATGTATATTTTTTTATCTCCGTACAGGATGTTATAGGTCTATCTAGACAAACTTGTAATAAACGTAATAAACTTGTAATAAACTTGTAATACGTATGCATAAAATGTATGCATAAAGTTATTCAATTACATTTTATGGGCTTTTATAATAGAAATGCGATTAGACAATTTTTTTATGCATATTATACGTTTATGCGGCTATGCAAGTTTGTCTGGATAGACTCTTAATTGCTGATGTAATTTGAAGCTTTTGATGAGAAGCATCAAAGAGAAAATCAGGTGGTCTTCAAAATTGCAACCTAATTTTATCAACAAGAACTTTTTAAGCATTAATAAAATATGATGTAATTACAGAATTAAGCATTAATAAAGTATAATGTAATTACGAATTGAAATAAAATAAAAGAGTAGAGAATGTTAGTTATTTATAAAGTCAACAATGTAATAATTGACTCAATATTTTTATGCATAAGATATAACGTATCTTCGGTATCTTTGAAGTCAGCAACGTAATAATCGATTGAATGAAATAATGTTTTCATACACAAGTAGATATATTTTTTGTATAATGTATCCTCTCTGGCAAAAATAAAAAGCGTAAGAGAGTGACAGAAGCGTAAACGAAACTTTTATAGGTGAACATTGAGCCAACGAAACATAAAAGAACCATTAATTTTCCTTTTATGTATCGTTCTCTTTATTTTCATCCCTTAAAAGCCTCGTTTACGCTTTTATTATTTTTTCCCTTATACGTTAACGCCCTTATATTTATTTTTGTCGAGATAATCATGCATTCTATTGGATGTTAAAACATTATAAAATAATTTTTATAAATATATCTATTATAATTTATAATAAGCTACATGATTCTAGAATTGATAAATCTTTTATAAACAAATTTTTTTCAATTATGGGAAAAATTACAGTAAAATAATTTTCTTCAAAATTTTTATGGATTAAAATGCGTTTCAGTAATACTGGATAAGTTTACTATTTCCTTAAAATTTTTTATATATAAATTCTGAAATATTCTAACATTTTCTTCTATAACTTCTGAAGAAATATCTTAAACTTCTTCAAATTTTGTAACATTTTATCAGAAATTTTAGAATAGTTCAAAATTCACATATACGAAGAATTTTAGGAAAGACGAATGTAGACTTGTTCGGTACTTCTAAAAAAATATTTCAATTTGCATTAAAAAAATCTGAGAAATTTTCTAAACAGTTACAATTATTCAACAGTTTTAGGAAAATTTGAAACTTACGTAAAGTTCTAAAAAATAATAAGGAGCAGCAATTAAATTCTAAGGGTCGGAGCAGAAGGAAGCGAAAGATTAAAATCGCGACTATCCACATTATTGTCAAAAAGCTATTCTTCTTCTTTCAATAGCCAAGTATCCCCACGACAATTGTGTAAATAAATTTGTTTTAAAAGTTATATATTTTCATCATCGCGCATGCGAAACACAAAGTAGCAACAATATAACTGTTCTCGATTTGACGTTCAATTGGTTCATTTGTTTCACGTGCGTCCATTTGAATGGACCATAACGTGGAAGGACTTAAAAATTCTTGAGAATTCAAAAATTAATACAATATCACTGAAACAATCATAATATACGTATTTATAATCTGTGAGATGATTTTAATGATTCCAGAATTTAATAATCTTTTATTAAAATCTCAAAATTAATATTAATAAATTTTTTAAACATGTGTTTTCTTTTTTAATTATGGAAAATCGAAGAAATAAAATATGATCGAGCTATTATATTCAAATGCAAATGTAAGATTGGTAATTTATTGCTAACTTTTCGTTCTACAATATGCACTAATGATCCACCGACATATTCCGTTTTAATCGCCTAGTAACAGGCTGATAATAAATATTTTATCAGATTCGAGCAACAAGCTAAAAAACAATTTGTAAACAACACATATAAAATAAATCATAAGCGTATTCTACAGATTTGAGAATTTAGTTGAGAAACATCATCAGTTAGTACTACGAAATATAATAAAATTGAAAAATGGATTTAAGCGAAAGATTGCATGTGATGAAAGCATGTAATAAATGCAAGTGGTTAACAATGTGAACACGTTTGTTCGTTTTACGTAAAAAGCGGGTCAGGTGGATAGTATCGATTTTATTCAAATTTCTGGTTTTAATAATGAAGGAAAATGTTAATAATGAAAATATTCATAGCCAAAAGCAAACGTTCTGCCAATTTCGTATAATTATGTGTACTTACGCAAAACGATGAGCTTCAACTGTTTTTGCTAGCAAATAAATCTTAAATGTATCAATAGATACTTTTAACTTTTATCAAATTGATTAAAATCTATGAACTTACAATATCAACATTTTTTAATTTGTCATAAAATAATACTTTATTTTATATATATTTTAAACAATTTTCTTAAAATAATGTACTGCTCTGATTTAGAAAAAATAAATAAATAAATAAATGTAGAGAACAAAGCGAATTAATAAGGTGTGGAAGGATTTAAATATTTTGAAGGTCGGGGTCAATTTATCGATCTTGTGAATTAACATTATTCATGACATGCACGTACCATATAATCACCCAATATGACATAATGACACAATTCATCTTGCTGCATACAGGAGTCAGGGTCTTTCTTAAATTTATCACTCCTTTATCAATTGATATGACTCTTACGTTGTATCGTAATTCAAACTTAATTTTTATTGCTATCATTACATAACACCTACCTTAGATATATTTCTAAAAACAAGTATACATCATTTTACAGCCTTGATTATAGTATATCAACAATGATTTTAATATTTAACAATTTGAATATTATTCATCTGGCAAGATTTGAAGGAGCCAGTCCTTCCAATTTTGGATCTCTTCACGACTCAACTCGTGTTCCATATTTTGCAGCGGCATAAATTTCACGTTTACTCCAAGATCTTTCAGATTCTTAGCGCTCTCTTCACCCCATTTAATAGGAACCAAAGTATCTGCTGTACCATGATATTGAACAAGTGGTACCTTGTTAAATTCTGGTTTCATTTTCAAATGCTGTAATTAAATATGAATAATAAATAAATCTTGTGGAACCCCCCCTTTTGTAAAAGTTCTGATAAAATCAAGTATTTTATGACGCTTTTTATAAAGCCTTTAATTGTGAAAATATTTCTTCTTTCGTTATATAGAATAAAAACGCTATTCCATCAATTTCAATTTTAAAGTGATATTCACAACAGCAAAAAAATATTTCTTTGCGGTAAAGTGCTTACAAGTATACTGTACAAACATGACTGCTTTTTGAGAGAACACAAGCCAATCTTTAAATATTCAATATGTTCAGAAAGATTGTTGATTTATTAGTGGAGAAAATAGCTTTGCAATTATTGTAAAATTTTTTAACATAATTGGCTTCTACTTTTAGATTCAGTGAGGAATTAAGGACAAGACCAATCAGAAAGAATTGTACAACAATTGTTAATAAAGCTACTTTTCTTACTGAACACAGCCAAACATAAATAGTATTATGTAAAATAAAAAAAAGCCTTTCTTTATTCTATATTTACCTCATAAACTATAGAACCCTTGTTGAGGAAGGAAGACATAGCGAAACAACCAGCTATGGTTGGTCGGTATCTATATGCTAAATGCAATGCAAGACAGCCACCCATCGAAAATCCACCCAGAATTATTCTATTAAACGGAATTCCATCATTTATTTCATTGTCAATCCATTCTGATACATTTTCACACATGGAATTAATTGACTCTAAGTGTTCTGGAACTTGAATAGATATTGCTGTACGATCAAACCATACATTTTGCATCTATAACAAAATTTTAGTAAAATCAAGAAATTGTGAAAATAGAGTACCCTGGAATCTCTTGATTAATAAATCGCTAACAAAAAACATTCGAAGATATTTATAAACAAATATTTTTATATATATTCTATATATATATTTGTATCAATTAGATACAAATGTAAGAATCAAACATTCCAGGATCATACTTATTTCATAGTTAATCATAATTATATCGTGTTACCATTCCATTGTTAGGTGTGTAAGGTTGACTAGGTGCGCTAAGATAAATTAATTTTATATGTGGAAACTGTAGAATTTCTCTATTAAGAATATGAATCCATTCTGAGAAATTTTCTGCTGTGTCACCTGCAGAAATAAAATTAAATGCAATGAAAAAAAATCAGCAATTACAGCAAATCTTAAAAGTTACAGCTATCTTAAAAATTCAATTGCGTTCTTTTATTTATTACAATTACACAATTAGATTATTACTTTACCAGAACCATGAAAACAAAATACAGTAGCAGTATGTTTTCTTGTGGCTCGCACGACATATCCACTTAAGACTCTTCTGAGTCCCTCCATTCTCTCGATGCAACTTATTTATTGCTTACTGTTCGTTTTAACATCAACCTCTCGTAATTTTGATAAAAGTATATAAATAAATTCTACATTAAACAATACCTTACGAATTCATTTTAATAGCACTTTATCACAGATTTCTCTATATATACTTGGTGGAAGAGATAAGATCTTAAGATTATATTTAAAACAGTCTGAAAGGTAAGAATCGACTATGAATACCGACATGTTTTGCGTCGTAAAGTTGGTACTGAATCTTTCCTTGCAAGAAAAGGAGTCGCAAGTGCAGAAAGTGCGGCACTTTATTACTGTAATATGATTGGTCACTACACCATCTCGATACTTCGAGAATCGCGATATGCGATATTGCGATTCTCGAAACGTCGATCTTCAAAATCAGGTAACAAGCCCGCCTAAACGAGTAAAGTGAACCCATCACGATGGCTGTAGATCGGACTCGTATTGGTAAGTGCTAAAACTTTTGCAGATAATTAGTGTCTAAAAGTGCGTTGGCCCTTCAGAGATTATCGCAAATATTGTCTGAAATGCCATGCCTTTGCCGTTTGTATCATATCGCGTGTATACGCCGATAATCTGGTGAAAATATAATTCATAAACAGACTCATCAGAACGAAGTCACAATATCGTCAAAATGATGTTAAAATGAATCGTTACTTTGATCGAAAAATTATTTTTAGCAAATTAGCAGTTATTTTTATATCATTTTGATAACTTATGTTCTGTTTTACAAACAATTAGGAACTAGAATTGAGAAATTACGTGTTACTTTATATAAACTGATGCCGTTACTTTTTTCGATTTTGATCGTCACTTTTTTCTGTTTGTCGTTACATTATGTTCATGGTAACGGTAACAATTCATACGTTTCAATCTTTTTTTTTCAGCTGTTTTTTATCGTTACTTTAATAGTTTATTATTAACTTAATAACTATCCAGTAGATCGCATATATATATGTATGTGTGTGTATGTACACACACACACACACACACACACACACACATACACGCATACACGCATATACATACACAGAGTCTTGAAAGTTTTTGTCAATTTTGTGTACATCGAGCGGATTAAACTGAGTCGGAAAGTCTTCTACCATTTTGCAATTTTCGCAGTAGTTAATAAGATATTAATTACTAATAAACTCAAATACTATCAACTTTATAGAAAAATTGCAAGAGACAAAAATCATTAATTTTTTTTTCATAAAGTTCTGAGAATTTTTCAGAATTTTTTAATATCGTATTCTCATGGTAAAAATAAGAAAATGCAGTACTAAAAAGTTGATAAAAAATTCCGAAAAAATTCTTAGAGTTCTATGAGAAGAAAATAAATTATTTTTGTCTCTTGCAATTTTTATGTAAAGTTGATAGTATTTGTAAGTAAAAAATTATTCAAGACCAATATTTGGCAATTTTTAGTAATTAATATCTTGTTACGCTTTATCTACACAAAAGCGATTGACAAAAATTTTCGGGATACATATATATACTTGGGAAAAAATGTTTTATATATAATTATATAAAAAAAATTATATATAAAATTTATATACAATTATATAAGATTATATATAATTTTA